CAGATCTTGGTAATGGGGTCTGGTTATGAGAAATATATAAAATTGGTTGTTTTTCATGTCCAAAGGCTCACAAAGGAGAAACATAAAAGGTGGTCTTCACACTGAGAACAAGCAGCAGATAATGGACAACTTGGAAGAAATGCAGTTCATTCTACAGAATGTAATGAGTGCAAAGGAGGAATCTTGGAAGTCCTCAGAGATACGTATGTGTCCTCATTAAGATTTCTCACCCATGTTCTGTAGCTTCTCATTGCATTGACATTTTAAAAGATGCCAATGCTAATCGCCTGCAGCGGCTGACTTAATTAATCTCTTACAATAAAATCTCAGTTCCTGAAATTAATTTACGTCCTAATGCAGACTCCCAGAAAAATGTCCTGCGTTTCTGTTTAAGATCACTAGTGTGTGATGCTGTGACCCTGCTGAGAGTGAGTGAGAGAGATCTCTGTTCCTATTGCCTTTCCACTCTCTCCTGGTTCTGGGGAGTCAGACTATCTGCTCCAACACATACCATCTCATTCCTTCACAAACCTATAAATACCATACAAAGAACCTTCTTGATCACTTTTCAGTATTGGGGCTCATTCCCACCATATCGGTTGAGTGGTGTTGATCTGCGTAGGTCAGCACAAGCTCGAGACAAGGGCACATAGAAAACATGTTCCTTCTGTTTCCTGTTCACACCATAACGCTGCATTGAGGTGCAGTGTGCTGCATAGAAATGCGGCATTTCTGCATTTTTACAAAGCTCAACTCGCTGTGCTGCATCTCACCACGCTGCACTGTCACAGTGCACTAAAGTGAATAGAATTGAATGATATGTCAATTTGTGACACTTCAGTACAGTTTAAAAAACACAGTAAACCGTTTCATGTGTAACAATGCATCGCACTGCCTCTCATATTGCACACCAGCATGCACATGTTTTAGCGTACAGATTGATGTGACTGAACCCTTTAAATAACTTAACGTTTGTGACAGCTGCACACTATGGCTTCTGTTGCCTATTTCAGTCTCTTCACACACACCTATCTTCCGTTACTTGTTCTGTTCTGTTCCCTGGAACTCTTTACCCCAACCTTTCTGTCTATTTCCCACTGTGACTGCCTTTAGGCACCCCCCTCTGGGAAGCCTATCCCACCTTAAACTAACCACTGAACCATCACGTTCTCAAACAATTCTTCCACACCCGGCTACCTCATGTATCGCTTGCCCCTCCCTTTTTAGATTGTAAGCCCTCAGGGGAAGGGTCCTCACCATCTTGTCTTGAATTGTAATGTTTTCCTTTATATTGTAAAGCACTGAGCAAACTGTTGCATAAATTCTGTATAATAATATTTTGGAAGAATAGGATGTCTACAGGATTGGATATTAGTATGCAGGCATTGAACATGAGTACATCTGCTAGGTCTACTTTACATTTTTTACTGTAGCCTTCAGTCCTGAATTTACATGGATATGTAAAGGCTAAGCTTACCTTTTTTGTCTCCATGTTATATCCATATTTAGGGTGTAACATGAATTGCGGGGTTCTTCTCCCCACCGTTTTGTGTACATTTTTTAAAAATAGCATGGCTGTGCTTGGCTTTGCATACACAGAGCCACATCATCTGTTCACAGATCCTTTGACAGGATCTGCTACTGCAGCAGAGGGACTTGTAGTTCTTAATGGAATCTAATGCAATACTTGTAGTCCTTTTGACACTTCTTCCCTTCAATTTTACTGAATGTCTGTACTGAGATAGGAAGAGCCTGCAGGAGACAGAGCAAGCCACACCAGTTCCTTGCTCCTTTGCAAAAAAATTAATAAATGCAAATTTTTCCTTTTTATGAAGAGGTGTGCATTTATTTATTTCTAAGAAGTTTGAAACATCCCTTTTTAGGCAGGTTTTTACTTTTTTTAGAATATTCCAGAAAAACACACAAACTCCTCCCAAGTGGGTACATAGGTGATATTTACAGACCTATATTAAGTGACTTTAGAGAGCTACTTCTAGCGGTGTGTTTGCATTGAACAATAGAACATCTCATTACGCAGATCTGCTTTTGTGACATTATTGAGACTTATTGAGTAGAGTCTCTGGGAACAGTATCCACATTGGCTGGATTATCTCAATTTACAAACACAGTCTGATACAATGTAATTCTTTCTTTGTGTTCTTATGATCCTTCTATTTGGTGTGGTAAGAGCTGAATTTTATTGCCTAACAATGATTCTGGGCAGTGACGTTCACTTTGTAATAATGTGTATACAGTAGGCTGGGGGCCTAACTGTACATTGTGTACCTGTAGTTAAGAGTTGTATCCTAGAACCTGGTTATAAGACATGGCTGTTCTCCTCCTTGTGTGTTTATTTACTGTTTATTGTGTTATCATTGGCATCCCTCTATGACACGTGACTTCATGATGAAGTGCTGGTTTGCCCAGAGCTATCTCTGAAACCTCAGGGAAAGTTATTCAGAACTATTGTAGTGAGTGCTACTATTTTTTTAAGTTGTTGGCTTTAGAGCTTATTAATTACAACATGGTAAGTGCTCTCACTAATCAACAGGTTTTACATTTAAAATGAGGGTTTCCGTTTGTTTTCAAGTTTGAGGTTTTGCGTAATGAGCAATGTATGACCTTCAACAGTAACCCATAACTACAAATGGGAAATAAGGCAGTTCCCCCCCCCCCAAAACAGACCTGAACAGATGTGATAATATCAGTGGCCCTCTGACCCCTGGAGTGTAGGGGGGCAGTATAAAAAAAAATGAATGTTTTTATAGCGCAGCATGTGAGGGACTGCTATGCAAATGAACATTCATAGATGACTGAGCTCCCCTGTATTAGACAATCTGACATGATGATGATGATGGGGTCAGGGCACGTAGGGCTTCCCAAGGTACTGATAATGGACCTTTTTGGTTATCAAAAGTGTTCTTCATTGTACACAGAGTGTTTTCAACTTGTCATAAGACATGGCAACAACCTGTTCAATGATGACCAGATATCTTCCCACCTGTTGTTGCACAGCATGTATTTACTTTGGGTGCACATGGGTGGTTTATGCTAGTGCCAGTGTAAAATTTCACTGGGTATAAGCCTCTTGCGTTCCTCTGCACAGCAGCTATCAGACTATGGAAGGGATGGGTGCGACTGGGAGCCAGTCAGTTATTACATTCAAATGTTATGATGAGAAGAGAGCAGAGGAGTGACCTCATCGGCCTGCTGTTGCTCTCTCAATATCCATTAAGCAGGCTGGAGGAGAGGGCGCCAGTGTATCCCTTCTATATTCTGTTACTGTAGCAGAGAAATACATTTTATCCGCCCGACTGTGCTTTGTGACAGGGTTGTGTAAATTTCAGAACTGGATGGGCAGAAATACAAATACTTTATCAGTAATTTAAAAAAAAGCTTCCTTTTAAATGTAGTTCATTTGCTGTTTGGCTACATGCAAGTGTCCTACATTGACCCAAAGAAAGGCTTGATCTTAGTCCAGAGAGCAATATTGGTGCTTTTATCCTGGACACCACGGGGGAAATCTGTTTTTACAAATGGTCTAAAATCAACCCAAATAGTGTTCAAAGCTGGCACATACCCGGTTATCGTGAATTTAAAATGTGCTTCTACAGCATATTAAATCCTGGAAATGAAACATTAATGCATACAGCATATTCCTGTTTTCATTCTTAGCCCTCGTTCACACCTGAACGTTTTGTAGCGCGTTCTACGCTCGACGAACGCTCTACAAAACACTCAAACATCTAAATCCCATTGTATTCAATGGGTCTGCTTCACACCTTGGCGTATTTCAGTCCGTCCCTAACGCGCTACAAAACGGCCCACGCCTGAAAAGGTACTACTTTGGGCCGTTTTTGTTGCGCGTTTCCATTGGGATACAGCCAAGTAGCCCTTGGAAACGCGCGTTTGTCTTACAGCGAATCGCGGTAAAAAAACGCACAACAACCGCGCATATGCAATACGCCTAGGTGTGGACCAGGGCTTAGGGTTAATGTAAAACAATGTTCCATTAATGTGTTGATCCGAAGATTTCAGTGTGATTCAGAGTACAATTGCACATAATTAAGCCGCTTCAGTGAGTTAATGTTATTTTGCACATTCATTCTTTGTTGCATGGTTAAGCATGGAGCTCACATCTTTCAAAATTGGTCTTTTAATACAAAGTATATTGGTCAGATACTACCCATCCATAATATCAGATCTGTACAAGTAGAATAAAATAATTTCAGGAACCTTCTCTCCGAGTTTAGTTCTGTAGACTGGAATTCTTTGTGCATGGTTTCCTGTGCACTCTACATATATATTACATATAGAGAGACGTGTTGTCCACTACAGTAGATAAGGTCATGTTTTCAGTGGGCTCTTCATAGTCTACACACTGGAAACCGATGACACTGCAGGAAGTAGATAATATGGGAGGGGTGCCCATAGTCTTTTTTATTTTAAACGCTCACTAGCTCTGCCATGACGTGATGGCTGAAATGACTGATAGCTGCTGTTTTGATGTGCTGAGATTTGATCGCTTTGAAAACAAACACCATTCTAATTATGTACATCATCACTTTCTCAAAGCCCTGCCTTCTGTGACTACTGTCTGTCTGTCGGCATATTGAGGATATAGATAGAATCCACTAAAAGGCAGTACCTACACACCTATACTAAGCTTTTCCTCTTGTTTTTATCTTGGCTAAGCACCTGACCTGTTATTAAAACTTCGCTTTGTAATGATGGTTCAGTTTTAGAACAGGCATGTATAGAAGAATACTTCTGGTGAAGTATGTGTATCTGCTTATAGGATGACAAATATAATTAATGTGCCTGTCACAGATTCTGCTCCCAATACAGAATATCCAATTTCTGTCCTTCTAAAAGACAGATCAGACCTAGTCATACAATGTGTTCTCTTTGTTTATTTCTACTGCTTTTAGGAGGCGGTGTAAGACAGATGTGATGTTTTATCACTTGTTCAGCATATTCAAATGTTATTTCATTTACAGGTTTCACTTTTGGATTCAAAAAGAAGCATGAATATCGGAATATATTTAAAGCAGTTTAAAAAGTAAGAGTTACAATATCTATACATATACTGTATACGAGTTAGTGTCTATACATATGAGTTACAATGTCTTCACATATACAAGAGTTAGCGTCGACCCATATACAAAAGTTAGCATGTCTTTGCATATACAAGACTTGCAATGCCTACACATATGTAGTATTTATGAAGAGTATTCAAGCCTTTGCATTCCTTCACATTTTATTGTCCTAGAACATGAAATGACGGTGGTTTCAGTTTTTCTGCCACTGATATACTTCTGTAGACTCTCACCTCAAGGTGCAAGTTTATTTTGTTTGCTGTTAAACATGCATTCTGGCAGTCATGGTTATAAAATGGATTACAAATTTTCGAATGAGCGAACCAGAACTAGGATAGCTAGACTTTTCCTTGATGAGTAACTTTCAAGTCAGAGGATGAGCTTGAGAGGAGGACAGACATTTGCAATGACAACTTTTCTCTTAACAGTTTAATTTTCCCTAAAGTATATGTAAGGCCAAAACTTTTTTTTTTATCATTATTTGAATGAAGTGGGAATGATTAAATCACTTGTCACGTTATAACCTCTCAACACTCTTTACAAAGAAAGTAAAGATTTAGTAACAAACTTCCACTGAATTGTGTTTTCAATGTTTCTCACAGGTCTGCTGAACATATCATTAATGATATTCGAACAGGACAATGCGATTTATATGACTGTGAGGCACTGCAAGAACTTCTTAAGCTGTCTCCAGAGCTAGAAGAGGTAAGATATGACTATAAACAATATGTCCTTTTCTACATTGTAATATTCTTGTGTGCAGACTTGCCTCTTAGTTTGCCCTCTTCCAGCACTGATTGTTCCATGCTCTCTCTCGCCACTGACACTGCCATGTTCTCTTTGGCCATTGGGCAGCCTGTGATGATGTAACTTCTCCATGTGCACGATTTGAGTTGCATGATCTCGCACCTATTCTTGATCTGAGGAAGTGTACAAAACAAATCATAGAAAGGGAAAGGAGTTTTTGATGGAAAAGACAACTAGCCAATTAGAATAATTGCTTTTCTTTCTGGCGATCAGCTTTAATGGATCTGATATGCAATGTAGACATTCTACATCTGTGTTTTTAGTTGTTCAATGACTTTACTGAAAGGTTGCTGTTCTTGGCAGTGAGGGTGTTGGTGATAAAGCCTCTGATCTCATTACTGACGTCATTCTGTTTCATTGATAGGTGAGCCCTGTGCTGTGACTGTGTGTACAGCTACAGAGTGCATCAGGAGAATGCATGTATTATTCAGACTTTAACCCAGCACAGGCGCTTTTTTAAATGCCAGGACCTCACTGTAACATTTCAGTTACTGAAACATTTTGGACCCAAACATGTTGCTCTTTTCACTTTTTCGCAAGGTGACCTGGATTTCCCTTTTTATTCTCATTTTACTCTGTATAGGCATCAAATAACCTGTAATCAATATTTAAGAAAAGGCAAATCCTGTTACATCACCAAATTCCAGTGTTGGTGTTTCCACTTACTGTTACTCAACACCCTTCCTGTCTCCAACTAGATCATTCAAATGACAGTCCCGGCAAAGTTATAATATTCTTACAAAAAAGCATTGTGCCTTAACGGGCACTATTTGTTTTTGTTTTTTAAAGTAAAAAAAACAGGTGCTCTAAGTGCCTGTGTTGATTTGTACTACTGTTGCTCTGTTAATTTTTTTATTGTGTACCTCTACTCTAGATCTGTGCTCTTAAAGATTTCTCTGTTCTCCAGTGAGGTTTAGATACACCAAGCAGTATGAATTGGCATATTCACTTAAAAGCGAACTATGGGGTAATCTTTTTGTCCCATAGTTCTCTTTAGGTCACGGGACTTTTATCTCATATTCTCTTTTTTGGGTCCTCCCGTGACCCAAAGATCTGTATATAGCGGGCTATTGCCTACTATATACTGAGAGCACCGCAGCCGGGAAGGATCCCGACAATACTGTTGTGATCCACCCAGCTGCCAGCCCCCTCCATTCTTCCAGTCAGTGCTGGAGGATCGGAGAGGGGAGGGGGAATCCCTGCGGGGAGGCGTGACTGACCGTCACCACTCTCTGCAGGGAGATGATTGGGAAGTGAGCGAGCGACGGTATGTGTTTGCTTACTTTCCGATCTATTGAGTTGAAGTGTGACAGTTTCATTGTCACACGTCGGCTCTAACTAATGAGTGTAAATCACTCACCTCATAGTTCTCCGACAAATATAACAGATTTTTGTGTTTGATAGCTGCTCATAAAATGTACAGTAGTATATCTCAATTTGTATTATGACTGTTGGAATAAAATACTAATTGCAAACTATAAGCATACTCCTCAGAAAGAGGATTAACTAACCTTCTCAACCTTCTTATGAAGAACATGGAATGTTTAATGCTATAGCTTCTATAGCAGGCTGCGCAGAGCCACATGTGTCTCTTGCAGCTATTGTAGACTTCAGCTTGGGGGTAAATTTGCAAGTTGCTCAAAATGCGCAAAAACCCGAAAGGAATAAAGCTTGCAATTCCTTTAGGGTGTTCTATAGGCTTCGTAATGTCACATGTTTTTGGTGGGCTGCAGCTTAATCCTAAAACTTTGTCTGCTATCATTCTTTGTGTTCATGAAACTTTGTTCATCCTAGCCAGCCTAATGAGCCAGCTTATGTAACATGGAGCACTTGAGCATGTTCTTAATAAGTACCTATGTGATTTATGAGAACACCTTACCCTTCGTTTCCATAGCTTTTCCTAGAATAAGCTATAAATATCCAAGGACATCTATTAGGAATTGTTGCAGATGATCCTTCAGGGTTGGATGGCCTTTTACGTAAGCTTGATAGTTGAGGGGAAATGTTTTGTCTACAGTGCTTATGTGTTGTGTTTTCCCCTCATCTGTTATTCTTTAAGCTAAAAGCAATGTGCTAATAAGCAAGACAACAAGAATAACTTTATTCTGTAGAATACGGTTTCTTAAGTTTAATGTGCATCTAAACCCAGAAACCAAAATATAATATTTAGCAGCTTACAGTCCTTAGATGTGGTGGCAGCATTATTTGTTTTTTAGAACATTTCCACTTTATTTTTACCTGGTTATCTTACAAATAACCCTATCCCTGTCCTGGAGTGACAATGCTCCCTCACTCCACTGTCTGGGGATGAGCCATGGACATCACTAGTCGGCTCTCCAGATTTGGGTGTCGGGTGTGTGTTTTTTTTTTTTCTTCTTCATCCATAGTGGGTAGAGAATTAGTAGTTTACAGACGTTCTCTTCACATGAAGATGAGGTTGTTTGTGATTTTGGTTAAATTCACAAGCAGTTACAAGAATACTGCATTTCAGGCAAGAAATAAAACTATTTTCTGTACTTGCTGAAAATGTTAGCCTCATAAATGAAAACTACTGCAGCCACCACATCTGAGGTCTGGTAAGCTACAACACTGTATTTTTATTCTTGGGTTTAGATATTTTTAAATATTTCCCTGTTTTAGAAACCCCATTGATTTAGGTCTGAGTCTCTCAATCTCAAGTACTTTTTAACCTGGATAAATTATTTGCCTGATTTTTGTGCAAACACTGACAAAAATAGCACAATTATGTTTTAATTAACTTAGATATTTACACACAGAACATATGAATTAAACTCCAAAATGTAATTTAGGAATTTGCAGTAAGAAGCAGTACTCAGTAGATGTACTACCTGGAGTAAAGTTTCACAGGTAAAAACCTAAAGCTGTACAGCACACTTTTGTAATGAATAGTAGGCTATACTTGTGTGAAGAGTTACTAATACCATTCACAAATAGTTACAATTCTTCTGTGTTACCAGAACTTGTCGGATTTGGCATTCATTCCATCCAACTTAGAAAACAGTTATGCCTGTCCCTGGTCCACACTTGACCATTTCTTGGCACACAATTGAAGAAAACTAAGTCTGCTTTAATAATCCCACTAGGGTGCAATTGTCAAATATAAATATGGCCTATTAAGTGGCATGGATAATTTATTTCAGCAAAATATTTCCACATATCAGCCATTTTAGACTAAACTAGGCCTATCTGGGGGTTATTTGCTGTGATTTATTGTGACCACTGCAGAAAGGGTGGTCACGCATGTTTCAATGCAACAGCCTTCAACATTGAATGTGAAAATTGGGCCATGCAGGGTTATAGAGGATATAAGTATTTCTGTAACAAAAAAAAATGTAAAACCGACAAAATTTCAAATCATTGTCTTTTCTATGGAGAAAGGGGAATAGTCACTTCACTCCACAGAGGTTGTGGGGAGTTGTGAATGTTATAATTAATTGGCAGGAGCCTAGAATAGTTCTTTTTATTGGCTCTTCTTTTTGTATCCTCTGTCTTTTACATTAGCAATCAACTTTGAATCTGTTAGTACAAGCCAGTTAATAGTGTTTAATATCTTTTTTGGAACTGTATGCCTGTAAAATGAAGGATTCATTAAAAGAAAAAAAAAATCAAAGTGTTGTACATAGCCTCCTAAGCAAATATTAGAGATACTAGATAAGCAACCTGTGTTTCATACTGCACGCCATGCATCTTATCTAGGTTCCTGACTTGACCTTTGGTACTAACCGGTGTGTGATTTTTATTTACATAAAAGGACATATTTGTGTTTTGAATTTCTATTCTTTAGCATTCAGTTTTTTTCTATAGCATGTTGCGTGCAGTAGATCGAATTTGTTCATACATTTGTCAAATGGTGTGCATGACAAATATGACATGTATGTATATGGATAATTCTATAATAATAGACTGTGAAAGAAATCCCATTATTGAGAATCATTGTGATCTCCATACTATGTGAGGGATTATGTACAATTATATATAGTTGCAGCTTGTATAATTTATCCTGTTTTAACATGCAGTGGTGGCTACAATGGAGATTACAAATAACCTTACAAGGCTGTTGTTTTTTTTTTTTAATGTATAAATAAAATCTTTTCAAAGTTTGGTGGAAAGGGGGAATTTGGAAGAGCTATTATCGGATTAGTGCACTGTACAGTTTGGGAGTGTTCTCTCACAGTATGAACAATGCAAGTATCCTCTTTCAGTTCATAAAATAAACCTTCTGGTATATCATTTGGGCTGATGGCTTTAATGTCTGGACATCATCCACACTTCTGTTTGCATTGTCAGATAGTGTTGTGCCTCATTATCTGTATGTAGGAAAAAAAGATCATGAAACTTAAGTTGTATATTTCTCTCCCGTTCATTGAAGGACACAGGTAAGCAGTTGAAAGCATTTAGTGGAGAAATAACAAAGCTGTCTCTGGCAGATTCCTTCATGTACTTGTTGATTCAGGTGCCAAAGTAAGTTTGCAAAGGATAAAATCTACCTTACAACTTCTCTGTATACTTTTTTTAAATCAATCTCCGCTGTTAAAGTCCATCTTCAGGCATTGTTTTTATTTTGGATGTAGTGGGTAAGGGTTAGAACCTCGATGAGGTTTTAATTGCCTGTATTTGTTGGGCAAGTGTCCTCCTTCCTGTACTAGTCACGGTGTTGCTAGCCAGAAAATGAAATCCAAAGAGAAGGGAGGTTCCCTGCTTGCCTTTCTGTTCGCTCTTCAGGACAGGAGCTAAGCAGAAATACAAATAGATAAACTGAGATTCAGATAGACCGTATTTAACCTTCCCCTCGCCCCCCCCCCTGGCTCATGTAAGTCTATGGAGACGCAGGAGCTTTGCACCCTCACAGTTATGACAACCGCATGATGCACTGACCTGGATCCATCATGTCTGCGTCTGAGGTCATATATAATCTGTGTGCAGAACCCAGAGCTGCAGGAAGGGTGTACAGCTCCTGCATCTCCATAGACTTACATGAGCTACCTGCAAACTTCTTTCTGCAGCTCTGAATAAAATGGCCCTTCACACTGTTCGGGGCAACATTCCCTGTGTTAATGAGGCCTAATTGATTTTGTGCATCAGTTTAATCACTTATGCCAATTACTTGGTGTCCTCATAAATGGACAGACCAAGGGCAGTTGATGAAAGATCTGCCCATCCTTTATTTGCTGGAATTTCAAGGCTTGCCATGATGATTTTCCTTTCCCTGTGAAGGAACACATGGTGCATATATGAGATCAAAGGCAGATCCCTAAAACATTTTACCAAATTCTGCATGAGATAAAATTACTTTTTCAGATACAGTCTCCTATACAGATATTGGTGCATAGAAAAAGGTACAAATCTGAATTTGTGGTGCCGCAAGCAAATAAAAGTGTATTTACTTTCAGATAATTATTGCAGTGACTGTTTACCAAAATCCTTTTTCACTTGCAGTATGGATGTGTCAACTCAATGAATTAATGTTTAGCATCTGCCTCAATCCTTGTAATCATATCGCATTCTGAGGTCTCACAGATACCCAATAGCTTCATTCCATGACACCAGACTAGGCAAATAAGAAAATGGAAATGTTGATCTTGGCTCATTATTTCAGAAGGCCAGCATCGGCTGGGAGAGCTACCAATAGCAATTTACAGTTGTCGGCAGTAGGCACCGCATTACCTGCCATGGGTTTAGGCTGTTGATTTTCATCACAGGTCCACAGTAAAGGGGTTTGCCCTTTTAACATATCCTTTAGTAAAACACTTTATGATGGTTGCAGAGTGGTGGCAGCTTTTATAGCATACTTGCACACATGGCAGACTTCCCTCTGGGATTGACCTTCTGCAGCACTGACATCTTCATGATCCCCACTGGTGCCGCTGCCAACGTCTCTGCTGCTTTTTAATCATCCATCTTTTACTTTTTTAGACACTGATATAACTGGTGGCATTCAGGGCCGGCCTTAGGCCTTAAGGCGTTGTGTCGGCCGCACAGCGCCCTTGTTGCCATGGCGCCCTGTGCGGCCGCACTGCTCGCACACCCCTAAGGCCGGCCCTGGTGGCATTACATCGCACTGGCACTCTTTCATTTTTGCCATATTACAGATCCTGAGAATGGGCTGAATATGTACACAGCACATGTGTATACAGATAAACAATTGAAGAAAGGGTAAAGAGTCATGCAAAGTCTTTTCTGCCAAAATGTTTGGCCCCTAACAAATTTTTTTCTTTTTAGGTTTCAGTTTCACTTTTAGCTTTCTACATATAACATATACTTATGAGCGTTTTGGTGTACGTAGCCATAGGCTTCCATTGGAGCAAGGGTATCTGCATGTTACTGAAGTAGAGAGGTTTTCAGTTACGTCCCACATGCAACTAAAACACTCAGTGCAATTACAGAAGGATGGGCTCCTGCTGAGCTTACACAGGATGACAGGAATTTGCTCATGTAGAAAAATTACTTAAACGTCATATTTTTTGTCATATCACTACTGTGTTTAGTGTACCTCCTTTCTAATTGGCTTTTCAGTGCGTGTTTTGAAACTCCTATTTCATCATCATGCTTTAGTATGATTTATTGCTAATTTTGTTTTCCTCTAGTTATTCCCTGCGAATAGAAGCAATGGTGCTGAAAAAGGAATTTTTACCTTCCTATTCCTCCCTGAGTAAAAACATGATGGTTATCAGGCTGGCCACACAAGGTGAGTGAATGAGTAACCTGGCAGATGCTTCTTTCACTTATTGTAAACAGGCTGATTATGAGGCAGATTGGATCATAATCTGGCAATAAATGACCATAGATGAGACTACCCTGGCATTTGGGGCTCTATATTTTATAAATATGTTAATGTTTGATGTGGTAAGTTGAGGACCACTTGTGTTTCTTCCCTCACAATGTAGATGCTTGGCTAGATGCCAAATGGCCACATCAGGCCAATCAAGCTTTATCATGTATAGGCGAATATTTTTAAAAAGTTGGCTCAGGAGCTCAGCCTGTACATGTGCACCCGTGCACCCTTTTTTGCATGTGGTATAAAGTCTCTCAATAAGACTGCTGAGGGTCATACCCAGTTACCAGTGTATCGGTCACTAGTAGATTTTGAACCGATGTTACAATATTGGACTTCAGGGTAGGATGGCATTGCAGCCTGTTTTTGTAGCCGTTAGATATGTTGTTTTATAAGATCTGATAAGCCAGTGATTCAGCCTACCACGATCTACCCATAGTTAAAATTTTAGCTTTGAATGGTTGGACAAACTTTAAATGACCACCGTCACTTAAGGCAAGTGTTTACGATATATCTGAATTGTTGCTGTAATGTTTGGGTGTCTTGTTCCCTGAGTGTGTATTTTTAACTTTGCTTAGTGCAGTGTCATTTAAGAAAGTGGCTAGTCAGACCAATCTAGTTCTCGTTTATAAATGTTAAAGCACACCCATTGTACAAGGTGCTCATTAATGACAGCTCTTGGTGCTGCATGTCTTTGGAAGGGATCATTTAGGATTATTGAAGGGGCCTGACCCACATTTTGTAAGGGTGTGTAATGTGGGAGGATAGAAAAAAAAAAATGATTCAGTCTTGTGTTCATATAGGTTGCATGCTATAAATTGTTACATATATTTTATTTTTATTGAACTGAAAGGACAGAGTGTAAAGAATTTAGTACACCTTTCATGAGTGACCTTTTATGTAGAAAGAATTTAATATAAATTAAATGTCGACTGATTAAAGAGCACTATGCACACAACAGACATTCTTCTTTGAGACTGCATTTCATTGGATTAAAACCCAGGACCAGACCTTTTAATAAGGGAAGAATCGCTACTTGTGTGTGTTTTTTTTAATTTTGAGCTATTGAGTTCTATAAACTGGCTTCTCTCATCCAAGAAACAAACATAGTTTGCAAACCATGAAAAGTGATCTAAAGTTCCACTTTCTGGCTCTAAAGGGAACTTGAGTAAAAAATACTGATGTTTTAGAGCCTAGGTTAACATGATCTCCGGTTACTCTTACAGCAGAGAGTCTTGTTTTCAATAAGTAGTTAAAAGCTAAGAGGATCAAAAAGGCTGCTCCCCATGCACATGGATAATTGCAAACTATGCAAAGAACCAATTTGTAAAATACATTGTCACCCATTGATAATATTGTTTGCATTAAAAGTCATTACAGTTCCGCTATTAAGACCTTTTGAGGTCAAAAATGTTGTGTAGACTCCCTTTTGGGTTTAATCATTATTAATTACAGGCCTGGTCCGATGAGTAATATCTTGGTCTGTCTGTTTCCATCCCTGAGTAATACGAGAAGTGAAGTTGTAGAACCTTTATAGTCAAATTAAAGGCTTAAAACACTAAAAATTATGATGACTGTTGAAAAATGAATGACAAAGGACGGGGCCAGGCTTCTGATCCCCATGTGGTCTGATATTCACTTACTTCTTAGGGGCATGCACTTAGATCTGTGTTCTTATATATCCTTACTTTCTATGTGCAGACCTCTGTGGATTAGGCTAGCATGTAAAACTTGCTCATGTAGATGGACATTGCTGAATGCTGCCTTTCGCATTTGAATGAAGCACTGCCCCTACACACCCTTAAGTACAAAATGCTGCAGACTGATGCTTATTACCTGCTTTGCCTGCTATGCAAACCCATCTCAATAGGACTTGCATCATTCATAGGAATGCAAAGCAGGCCAAACACAGCCATCCATACTTGTCTGTTACAGTTCATGTATGTATTTAAATCTATGCCTTCATATTTTGTACTTTTTTTCTTCGAAGATTGTTGATAAATAGTGGAAGGATCCTTTTCGTGTCATTTTGTTGTTTTTCCTAGTGAGAGCAGAGCAGTGAGAATTGTCTTTAGAAACATGATGGGAGATGATTATATGTAAAGTAATGCCATCCATAGCTACAGACTAGTTTAATAGAGTTTTTGAGCATCCTCCCTTTAAAAAGCATTGTACTGTTCTTCAGTCCATGAATAATAATCAGAGGCTATATTACAGTTGCCAAGGCAGTGAGCAGTATTCTATTACACTGGCTTGTACAGAAGTGGGATGCATATAGACAGAAGTGTGGATCCCTTCTAATTGTGCAATGCTTTTCATGGTATATTTTAGGTGGGGTCAATGTACTCTGCAATACCCTTCATATCAGTGTTTAGAGAGATGAAAAATGTGTTTCCTTGAATACATGTGGAAAATGTTGTATTTACACCTCGTCCTTGGCATTCCATAGTAAATTGTGCCGTTTCTCTTTCAGAGCTGATGTCATGTGAGCAGCTGCATTCTATGTTGTTCTTGGTACTGCAGGCTGGGAATATTATGAATGCGGTAAGGGGAAGTCTCCTACTGCACTTTACATCTTTCAATTTATTTAAATACAATCTAATGATTTCATGTCATGTTTTCTTATTCCGTAGGGGGGTTATGCTGGAAATGCCGTTGGCTTTAAATTGTCGTCATTGCTTAGGCTTGCAGACACCAAGGCAAACAAACCTGGAATGAATCTGTTACATTTTGTGGCTTTGGTATGTATACACAATCTTTGTTTTTCTCTAAACTCTTGTAAATGGTTTGCTAGGAGGCTGCTGCCCAAGGCTGCCATTACTGACATGTGTTGTGCATTTACTGTATATTGATGTGCACAATATTGAACAGATACTACAAGTGCTGTTAGGCCAAAGGCAAAGGGGACGTCTAGAGGCCTGTTGCACAGTTGGTGAAAAGAGCAAATTGTGATGTTCAGCAGCCCTCAGAATTCACTTTATTAGCGACAGACTATTTAATAATGTGTCCAGCTGATACCTTTTTTTCCCTTTACTAGAATCTGAAAGTGTTGGAATCCCTGTCAAGGGTGTACTGTTATGCAGGGCTCCACGGCATTCAATAGATTTTTTCCCCCTCACTATTTGCTCTGGTGACATTAGTTTTACCAGACAGGTAGTAAGGGAGAATCTGAAACACGGGCAGTCACTAAAAAAAAAAAAAAAATGATTTCTTTCTGTGTTACTAGGATTTGCACTCCATTCCTGTCTGAACAAATCCTTGTCTCCAGCACATGAAGTGAATGGAAATCTCCCCTATGGCACTTAGCAAGCCATTAAAAACATGACAGGGGTTCTATACTTCTCACTCTACACAACGTTTTTTTAAAAAGGTTGTGGCTGTACATAAGATTGGTTGTTAATGCACCCTGCACCAAGAGCTTTGCTACGTGCACTGTTGCCAAAATTGCATCCAGAACCCCAATGCTACAAGGCAGCCATTTTTAAAAGTGAGCCACCAGTGAACATTCATAAGATCTTGATGTATCTAATGTTGGATCGCTTTCTGATTATAACATATTAATATACAGTATCTGTTCATGTGACATTTAAGCATTCAGTAAGATGTTTTCTTTGTATTCTAGGAAGCCCAGAAAAAAGATGCTACCCTGTTGACTTTCTCTGAGAAGCTTCAGCATGTTAATGAAGCAGCCAGGTAATAACTGTACACTGATATGACATAACATTGTTAGCATTAGGTCAGGGAAGTTGTTTGCAGGGTCCTGTATGTCTGAGGCTCCTTGTGGGATTCTAAACTGCATCGGACCTGGGTACTCCACATTGCGATATTTGTTTGTGCTATGTAAAAGAGCACAGCCCCAGGAAAAATCTGTGTGTAGTAGTTCTTTTTCATGTACTGAATACACCCTGGGAGATATTCACATGTGCATCTATAAACAGCAGCATAGCCCTGGAAGAAATTCCATTTCTTTTGTTTGCACATATGGCAGAGAAAAATCAGCCTTGTGTTTATCATGCTTAGGGACTGGAGTCAGCTAGAATAAGATCAGTTAGCTGTGCCTAATCACCATTTCCAGGCACACGGGCACTGTTCTGTACTTGCTGGGTTTACCCGTGACTTTGACACGTAAAACGTCCAATGTTTGTATTTTAGGAATGTCCTGTTTATACTGTATACATGGCATTGCCCAAGACTCAGCTCGGAGCTGTCATAGCTTCCTCAAGAAGTAATCACTTCTAACATTCATTCAGTGATGGGTGGTAAGATCAGATGTGTATATGCATTAAACTTGAACACATAGTCTCTTGAGATGTGTTTTGTTTGTGTGCGCAGTTTGTACCTTTCTCTCCTTTACACAGTGTAACCAAGAAACACTAGGTACCTCCCTTAGGGAACTGATTTTACATCTACATTGGGCATTTAAAATGGCATGGAAATGTAACATATATGGAAAACTTAAAGCAGTATTAAACATTCAAACTTTTTTTTTTCAGTAATGAATCCAGATCAAACAAATATACATTGCCCAGCAAGGTTTTTTTACTTATTCTTTGCCCATACACTTAGTTATAACAGCTGGCTCCAACTCTCTCAGCTTCCTTGAACATTTTGTCCAGTACAAGATCACAAGGGACAGAGCAGTCTCCAACAGCTTCCATCTGCTACTTTTGAGAAGGGATGAGGGAAGGAGGAGGGGGAGCAGGAAGTAGGGAGTGCTTGGCCTTGCTGTGTTTGTGGGGAGACACAGCTCACTTGCACACACAAGGGTGGCTCTATAGGACCCTGCAAGGGAAAGAAGCCACCCTAAAGGATATCTGGTCCAGTGCTCAGGGGGACCAGCTGATTGTGCAGGAAACTGAAGCATTTAAACATCAAGAAGTAGAATCCATTGTAAGTTGTTTTTTAATCGGCATTTGAAATAGCTTAAAAACCCTTTGACTTTCTTATCACTTTAAGTCCTTTTAGGAATCGGATGGCTCTGTAGTAGAAATGTGTGTGTGTGTGGAGTATTAAATATTTCGTGTCCATGTGCTAGGCAGTTATTTTATTGCATGTTGAGGAAATGAACTTTGTCTGTAGTTCGTCTTGTATTTCAGTAAGATTTGTGTGTCAATCTTTCATACTAACTGGTGAGGTGAATTTTGTGTTTAAAGGCATGGAGTTGCATCTCCACATTACACTTTATGTTAATAATCCGTATAAGACAAATTGTCCGGGACTGCACTGTGTTCATGTATACTGTACTAAATGTACCCTCTATACACCCTTACATATTTATAGAAAACTTTTCCATAAAAACAGGGATGCCTGCTTTGCATTATTTAGCAATACCTGCCTGGCCAACTATGACAAATTGATCCTTCTCTGGCCCACCCCTACTGTAGTTTTCAGAATGCAAATACTACATCAAGCACAGCAGTTCTACTGGACAATGTACATTTGCCTGAAGCAGTGCCAGCCTTATGTGAAGTGTTGCATCTATAGAGAATAATGGTTGTCTTGAGCTGGAGATGAATACTGCCACTGTTCTCTGCGTCCATCTCTACCTTGATGCATGCGTCAGATGGGAATACCTGCCTGGCTGGTTCCAGTGCGTGGCCATATGCTGCACAGAGGATACATTGTTTGGCCCAGGGCAGGCTGGGACAATGTAAAATGTTGCTTATGTATCCTCCACTGGTACTCAGTTGTGCTTACATTGTGGATATGGATAACATGAAGTGATGAGCAATCGTGATTTTTTTATTTTTTTTGCAATAAACCTTGCGTTTACTTTTCTGCCTTGGCATCAGCATTTTTTTTTTGGTTTTTTTTTTTTATCAACCAATGCTTTCACTAGCCTCTATATTGAAATTAAGCTATCAGCGTTGCAATCAAAGCAAGAATAATTTTCTGTAAATGCGTCTAGTTTTGAATTCTCTGCCTTTAGTGTAGTGTAAGAAAGAAAGAGAATTTAACCTCCTGGTGTCAGGCACTTGGCTTTCCCACATTGCTTGCTGGGGGCTGCTTTTCAATTGTTACTATGACGGAGAAAGCGGGGTCAAAAGGCTGATTCATACACAAAAGCCCAGCTTGTACTGTGGCAGTAAGCAAACCGGAGTCCTTAGAATAGTGAGGGAGTGTACGGTGGCATGGTGAGAATCATCAATCCCCTTTCTCCCACACATCTGTTCTGTATCTGTACAAGCATCCACATTGTCTCTGTCCTTGGCTGCTGGGGACTTTTTCCCCCTCGTTCCCTATCATGGTTAGATGTTCAGAAAATATTGTATGTGGAACTCATTTCTATCCATAAATCTTTGATAGAGCCAGATGTGTTGAGTGGAGTCTGTTGTCTCTTGCTCTGCAATAACACAATATAGTGCTCACAGGAAGCAGACATGTTCCATGATTGGACTAGTCATCAGTACTGGAAATATGTAAAACAATTAGTGTCATTAATGAATTACAGTCCATTATGTTACAGAAACAGGTGATGGGTCTGGAGAAAGATAATCTAACACATGATTTGGAAAGTTATCATTAACAAAATGGAACACAGAAGTCATTGGGCATCTGATGACTTTAGGCTTTTGTGCCAGTTAACCTGTTATGTGTAATGTTTGTCATGAGCATTTTGCATTGTCAGGGTAAGCTGTGCTATGAGGTGGCTTGCTTCCACCCAACTTATCTTACCTTTTTTCTTTGACTAGGAGGCAAGGTTGTGTTTGAGATTCAGGTGTTTGGTGACATAATCAAACATTACAGATCTACTCTCAGGTACTGCATTTTCATTTGTTATATAACTTCATTTATTTGTTTTTCCAGGTTATCTACAGAAAATATTGAAACAGAATTCCATTCCCTCTCTACAAAAACAAAAACCATCAAAGACCAAATCAAAAAGGACCCTGAACTGGTACAACAAATGGAAGAATTTCTGCAGGTACATAAATGCATAAACTTTTATGGCCAGTAGTAATAGGTCACATTTAAAGAGACCCTGGCGCCAGACCGTTCATTGGAACAGAAAACATCCCAAAAGATTGTATGTGCATTTAATGTATTTTATATGTGCTAATTACCTTTAAAAGCCTTCCTTGTGTAGACATCCAAAAGCTCTGAGGCTGTTGCTGCATGCTGCTATCTTGGATGTGATGTCAGCAGCCCTAGCAAACTCGGAGCTATCACTCAAGCTTCACTCCTACTCTGGCAGTAAGAGTGAAGGAGCTGGGTCAGACATTCCCAGAAGGAAAGGGCTATGCCATGCAAGGAAGGAGGGGGGCCTTTTTATTTTTTATTTTGGTGCAATAGCAAGCGAGAGCTAATTTTCCCAAAGTGCCTCTTAGTTGCCACTAGAACATTTTGTCCCCATTGGAAGATTTCCCTTCTCTCTTGATTTCATGACAATTCTAAGATTTTGGATTTCCTCTTTCTGTGTTGGTGGCAATGGTCACCAGGAGAAGTAACTCTTTCCAGGGAGGATGCAATAAAAACTTGGCAAAATGTCTGAAGCTGGCCATAGACTGCTCCAACTATTTTTTTTTTTCCATTCAACCCGCGGGCTGAACGAAAAAAAAAAAAAAATAGAACAGATTCCTTCATCAACGATATGAGCGCGGTGATGGAGGAATCCCCACTGTTTCTTGTGTAGTCTGACAGAGGACGCCAGCCCCTGTCAGAATACCCGTACAGACATTCAGTCAGAGCTGACCGGCTCCTTCGATCTGCTGATTCCTCAACAGATGGCCAAAATTCACACATTGTATGGCCTTCTTTATTCTCCCCCCCCCCCTTAACATACACTTTAAACTGATCACAGTGTGTCATGAATTGTTTCTAGGCAAATTTTAATTGTCCAAGAACGCAATGGGAGGTTTAAAACCTCCTTTGCACATCGTTATTGCTCTTTGGGCTTTCATATTGAGTAAGCCTGGCATTAAGGTTGTATGTGTCTGTAAATTAGCTCATAGAAAAAAACAAACTAGGACAGGCTATTTTGAATGCTGTTTTCATACGTGAGCATCACTTGCAGTAGTTGGAATATGTAAGAGACAGCAAAAACAAAATAAGATTTTTGAAGCAACAGACGCAACATATATCGTGGTATTCAAAGGATCACCAGTATTGCGCTTGGGTGGTCTTAATATTACATTATATTGCAGGTTGCGGTGAAGGAGATGAAAGAACTGGACAAGCAGAGAGTGGAGTTACAGAGAGAGGGTCACACCCTGATTGATTTCTTCTGTGAAGACAAAGAAACCATGAAACTTGATGAATGTTTCCAGATATTCCGGGATTTCTGTGACAAGTTCAACAAAGCAGTAAAGGTAAGACAAGTATCTCATCAGAAATAAAATGACAGAGGGTACCATCTTTTCTACTCCAGAGTGGATTTTTGTTTATACTTAACGTCTTTTTATATTTTTTTTAGTCTCTAGACTTTCTGAAATAGCTGAAGTGTGTCTGATTTTGCCTTTTTAGGAATATTTCTCTTAAATTTCTCTAGGTACAAAGATGTGTTACAATATTCCTTATTACTGAGTTGTAAAGAATTTGGCATTACAGTGTTAAATCAAGTCTTCTTTCAAATCTTTGCACAAAATTTGCCTTTGCACAAAATTTTATACTAACCTTATTCGAAAGGTAGAGTGTAGAGCCGAAACCAGTATTTTTTAGCTTTAGAAAATGTTTTAAGTTTTTGTGAAACGTGACCGCGTGCCTGACTGGTCAGCTGGCTGCGGGCCACATAGTACGGGCTCATGGGCCGGTACTTTGATACCCCTGGTATAGAGTATTGGCACTGTTCAACTAAATAAAAAGTTTACACACCTTGCATAGTTGCATGTATATTCTAATATGTCTGTTTTCTTTCCCTGTAGGAGAATAAGGAAAGGGAATTACAAGACCTTCGCCAGAAGCAGAGACTGAAGGAACTGGAGCTAAAACGTCAGTCCTGGGTCTGTGTAGAGGCTGGAGGTTTTGGAAGGAGTAGCAGTGAAAATGATGTAGAGTTACTAACAAAAAAGGGACTGGAGGAATTTTTATTGCAAAGGCCCCAAAGTCCACTGAGTAGGACCTCTAGCGCAAGGCGTTCTCGGCTCTCATTAGGTGTTACAGCAGACAGAGAACTTCAGATGTATTTGGAAGCCCCTCAGGATGATCAGTTAAAAAAATGTAATAGTCTACCCAGAACGTACACTCGACAGTCTAGACCAACAATTGCATGGATAAATTCCACAGACAAAAATGACCAGGACAATACGCACTTAAATAAAAATGAAGCAATAAAAAATTCCTCACCTTTGCCTACAGTACTTATTAATAGTATGGGAGAGCACCACACTGCCATAACGAATAAGCATTACAAGCAGACCAATATAGACCGTAATAACAACCAGTCACAAAACTGCCAAGACAATGGAGAAGCTTCACTCAAAAAGACCCCTTTAAGCCCATTAGCTGTTACTGTTCAGGAACGTGAACTGGTTAAAAAGTTACGTAAATTTAGTCTACAAGGATCTGTACATGGAAACGCAGAAGATGTTTGCATTACGGATTTGGAGACATTTGAAGACTCAAGTTTTTATTCCCTTAGCCTTGCAGATGAACTTAGCCCATCTAAAAATACCAAAGGCACACCGTCGAGCACACCTGATGAGGACATTGATATGACTGAAGGATATTTAAACAGTGCAAGCTCTCCTGTCTCACAAAATACATGTACTTCTGAAAAGAAAGAGCATGCACCATTTTTCTATTTTGAAGATACTACTGAAAACTCGTTATCTTTAGATAGTTCTGAAGCACAAAGTGTCAGCTGTAATAATGGGGGTCCATCAGTTGTAATGGAACATAAAAGTGAAATAGAGGACAAATCTCCGTCTGATCAGCACAAAAATGTAGACTGTAGCACTGGAGATGCTGGCAGTACTAAAGAAAATACAATAAAATGTAAAGATCATAAAAGACCCAACTCTGTGAAGGAGAGAACCTCAAGCTTCACAAAAACAAATAAAGCTCGTTCAAGTAATACAACTACAACGAAACCTGTGCGCATGTTGAATGAGTCAGAGCATGTGACAATGCGGAAGGTTGTCCCCATTTCTAAGACCACCAAGTCAGGAAGTATAAAACGTACAGAGCTCAGAAGCCCCTTGCGAGATGAAGGGAAATCAGATGAACTGAAGCAGACCTTTCGGCATTCCCTTAGAACCAAAAATGATAATGTCCCAAGGACTTCCCCAATAGCCCCTCCAACTGCTGAAGAACCCAAGCTACAAAGAGGTTCAAGCTTTATATCTAATAGTTCACGTTTTCAAAGGGACCAGATCCAGCGCAAAAGTTCTGTAAGAAAACCAGCAGCAAAACCAGTTAGGAATATTACTAAACCGAAGCCTGAGGAAACCAAGATATGCAGGACATCTCCAAAAGAATCTAATTCTGCTGATAACAGCAAACCGCAACCTACCACATCTGTCAGCAGCCCCAAAACCTTGCCCTCTACACCAAGTTTTGCTAGAAACACTGTTGCATCATCCTCAAGACGCACAAAACCAGAACAGTCTCCTCCAACTCCAGGAAAGACTTCAACAATAACTAGATCATCATCACTACGACAGTCTAAAGGAAAGTCTGAAGCATTAACTAGGGATGCAAACCCAAGGGAAAATGGAAGTGCAAATACATTTAAAAGGACCAGTAGTATGAGGACAACTGGGAAAGGAAAAGATGCAGTTAAAAATGTTACACCTGAGATAGTTCAAAAGGAGAAGAGCATTGTTGAAAAGTCATCTGTGAAACTTAAAGATACAGGCAAAGCTACCCTAGATAAAATACTGAAACCTTTGCTAAAGTAGATGGTTAACTTCAAGCTCCCATTATTAACATGACAACCCCAGTCTGGGCGATTTTAAAGATCTTGTTTTTCAGTTCCACACTTGACGAGCTGCGCACATTACAGTTTGCAGCAATTTTGATATTAAGAAAAACATGGTGATTGGTATGGCCAGATACCCTGCGTGGAAAATGGATTAGACAGCCTTGTGAAGGAATTTGTGCTGGACGTAATGTGATATTTGTGGAGCTCCACTTGATGGGTATTTTTACAGATTGCATTAATTGGAAAGCTCTACTTTCAAAGGGGATTGTTCAACTGTAAAACAGAACTCTGGTTAGTGTTTGACCTCCAAAGGTACAAATTATTCATCGACTTCATATGGTTGGCTGCTTCCAGCTAATGGTATATTTAATCATACTGCCACTGGCATGGATATTCCAAAGACTCTGCTGGGTGGAGTCTTTTTGCTAAACTGGATGATAAAATGACTGGCACAGGTGTGTTTCACAACCTCTCAAGGAAGCACACAAGAGGATGAGTCATTTAGGACAATGTTGTGTTCATATTTAAAGCTATCCAGTTTTAGGTGTACAAAAGTGCCATGTATTTATTATGCATTTGAAAGGTGTTACCGTACTATATTTAAATGCTGAATCTTTTTGAGAGCACTTCAACCATTCCATGTTTTCCATTGTTCTTGTTCCTTGTTTAGTTAACATATGAATCCTGCTGCTAGGTTTGTGTCCTGTAAGCTTTGATCGGGGATAAAAAGGACTCTGTTCTTCGTATTCCTCTCACTGTTGGCCAAACACAGTGGAACTCACGTGTGATGAATAATAATGATTTGCTCCTAGCATTCGGCGACTGTGCTCAATATAAGCCAGCCCCATTATATGTTTACACATATGTCATAGCTCATCCTTTTGTAGATGAGAGGTCCTTGTGGCAAGTGTTCGATTCAGAGTTGTACGCAGTTGATGGTTTCCAAGAAAATGTACATTCATATTTACAGAATGGAGAAAAGGAATGTGGAAAGTGCAACCAGGATTAAAGCCTATCTCCAGCTAATCCCTCTTTTTTTTTTTATTATATCATAGGGAAGGGTTAAAATGTTGGATTTTTATTACGAAGTGCCTAGTGGGGAGGTATTCCCTTTATGTTCTGGCTAAATCTCTAAAATTTATTTTTGTTGCAGTCCAGTTTTTGTCCTCATTGTATAGAAATAGGGAAAGGTCTGAACCTCTGTTTTTAATTTGCGGTCTGTGCCTGACCAGTTAACCACTGTTCCCCCTCATTTCTTGTTCTGGTGACAAAGGAATATAAAGCGGTGTCACAGACCGCAATAAGAACCTGCTTCTAACCTTACCCTATCCCATTCATAACTATAAAAATGGAGAGAAAAAAAGTTTGTGCTCTAATATTACTGGTCATAACAGGTGATCCACAAAGTGTTGCAAAGGGTTACTGCAAGTTTGGAATACGTTTGATGGCATGGTAACGTGTGAATTATCAAAAAGACTAAATCCCCCACCTAGGTTGAGAACGTGTTTTGAAGATCCTTATTTTGTACTTGAAATTGAATTTGACCAGTTATGACTGTTGTAACCACGATGGGATGACGATTCTTTGGTAATGATGGTGGTCCAGACTTTTATATATGTTTTGCCTTATTTGATAAGTACTGGTGGTACACTTGCATATTTTGGGGGCTTTTTGTTGGAGACTGGCAAGCAAAACTAGCCAAGTAATAAAGTTGCTAATTGCCATAATGATGGCTGTGAACAGACTCAAAACCATTCCTATAGCATCTTAAAACTGAACTGACACCACTAAGCGTGCATTAAGGCACTCCATTGGGGTTGTAGTTTATACAGATATTTAATGTTGCTTTATTTGAAGAGAGGTTCAATGTCTGTCTAATCTATGACATTCTCTTCAGACTCTTTCTTGTTGCCTTATTATGTCTGCTGCTTTCTGAATATAAATTATGATAAAGTAGACCCAAGTCTCTTTTACCAGAACAGGGCAAAGACTGACCGGGATGCACATTATTTTTTGGCTTTGTGTAGATCATCTTTAATCCACTCTGCCAGTGTTCATCAAATTAGTCTTCAGGGTTCCAACTTGCTTAAATGAAATGGTGGTCTTTTTAAAATTGTTATAAATAATAGACCTGTGCATCTTACCCGGAAGTGTAAAAAACACCATAGTTCCCTCTTAGACCCACAGGTGAGCAGGAATATAAAAGAGTATAATGGTCTGAAAGAGGGTAAATGAGCATTCACAGGCCACCTGAGGTCCATTCATGGATATCCATCATGAAAAACAGTTTCGACCTGTCCTTGCTGACTTCTGCGAATGCAAGCTACTGGTCTGTCTCTGGTTTCAGTACTATGAGTCAGTGTGCTGGAATAGACCTGTGGATTATGAGTTCTGACTTTTTTTTTTTTTTTTTTTTTTTTTTCTTCTGATCTGCATGCTTGTTGTCTCAGAAAGCACTGGAGACAGAAAATAGCATTTTCATGAGACCATCAATGGTAACCTCCATATGACAATGCATCTGAAGCATAGGTAAGCTGGTGTAAAGTGTTAATGAAACATGGTGACGGCACATCTGCTGGTTTAATGGGTGCTGGGGTAAACAAAATTGTTTTGTTTTCCCCTGAATTAAGCCAGATGCCATGGATGACCTTCTCCTCTTGCCCACCATATAGACGTAAACGTGCATGATCCAAACATTCATGTCTGTAGCAGGATTTTCCATTTCCAATCATCATAGACCAATAAAGCTTCAGCCAACAAAGTATCTATAATTTCCTCCACCTCATGTATGCGATCTAGAGGCTTCCTGCTCAGAGCTGCAGATTTCTGAATAAAATCTTTTTGAACATAGGCATATCCTTTCTGCTTTATCCGGACCATCAGTGCTTTAGATATATTGCCAAAGGATATGACTTGAACAGACTACATGTAATGCTTTGCAAGTGTGTTGATACATCGTATAAATAACCTCTGTGTAGTTTAATGAGGAATGAGCATGGTGAATACTCAATGCAAGGTTTGTTTGTTTTTTGGGGGTCTTTTATCCTCCAGTTCAAACAAAACATACAGGTCAGAGTGTTTTTTTGTTAGTTTTTTTCTTTCTGTCTAGGTATCATTCATGAACTGTATATGAAAGCAGATACTCAGGGGCAGGATGCACAACGTTGTTACTTAGTGTCTTAAATTTTGTAATTGCTGTTATTTGTATGTATGTTGAACTACCGATTTTTGTGAGTAAGATTATTTAAATGTGTTTAATAATGTAAATTTGTATACTAGAAGGTACAATGTACATAGGCAAGATATATTTAAAGGACCTTTACATATTTCAGAATAGTTTGCTAATAAATATCTCAACTGACATTGTTTATTGTGTTTTTAATTTCTATTTTATTTTCTAAAAAAGAAATGTTAATCGGCTGCCAAATGATATTGAGCTTTATTTGTGGACACGACTGGAGGAAAAAAACGTGATACCAGGGAAGGACCTGGATGGGGAGGGGGCGGCAGTGGCCCCCATTACTAATATACTGTGTATTGGGCTGGTGGCAACTCACTGTCAGTGACACATGGTGGTCATTTATAGCTATTCCCTGTTTAGATCATTTCACTTGGCAGAGGGAAATCTTCCAGCATCAACTTTGCAGGTCTAAGCTGTTATGTGACCAAATGCAGAGAGCTGGCAAGATGTGTAAGAATGTGCCATAACAAGTCATTTTTCTTTTTAGAAACACTTTTCACTATTGATACTTTTCACCAATTACTGAGGTACCCCAGCACACCTTGTGAGATACATGTTCCTTAGTCCCTTGGGAACTCTCCTACCATGAAAGGGGCCGCTTGGTTGTAGTTTACGCCTAGGCCAAAGGATTTCAGTCCTCTTTTGCTTGTTGCCCATAGCAGCCAGTGAGATTCACTCCAAAATGTAACCTGGTTTTGTTAAATATTAATAAACATTATTGTCCTGCAAAAGTGTTGATTTAAGGCCCGACTCCAGCCAAAGTATTTGTTTAAATAAATTGTGAATGGGATGGAGAGGGTTGGAACCCGTGTTTTTTTTTATTTTTATTTTTTTATTCTTAATCTGTCTCTCTAAAGGCAAGGTTTTACCAGCATAGGAAGTGAGGGGCAATCTTATGTAGATACAAACTATAATGGCAAACCTATTTCTGCTAAAGAAAAAAACCAAAGAAACAAGGATTTGCATGTGCCCACTGGGTAATTAACCTTCTAGGTCTGCTGACATGCTGAACTTCAGCTTTAAAGGTTCACCAGTCAAATTTGAAGATTAAACTATTTTGTTTTTAATCCAGATATAGATGTAGTGTACTAAACAAATCCTTTTCTGTGGTTTGGGGAACTCCTGCTGTGATGCAGTAGAACCATTTCCAAACCTGCCTACTGTGCAGGCACCTTGCTGTCCATTTAAAGTTAGCACCACAAAGTTTTCCACAAATTAAAATGTATACTTACCTTGGATATTTCAATGTGGTTAGTGATGCAGTGAGAAGAGTAAGGAAGCTACCAAGCTTTAGCAAGTATACTTCAAGGCACTCTTCAAGGAAGTCCGAGTAGCAGAAGAGGAAGGCCATAAAATTCCCCTCAATAGTTGCCTCGATCTGTGTATCTACTTTAGCTTTCACTAAAGGCAATCTCGGCTCATGTGTTTTGGGATGTTTTTTCCCATCATACGCACAAATTGAATTTCCCATGTTTGTTTACACAAATGTAATTTAATGTACACACTTTTATATTTGCATTAATTGATCCCATCTCTCATCAGCTTTGGACTATTGGTGAAAGATTTCTAATATTAAGCCTGTCTTATCAAAAGTGGTGGAGCTCATTACAAAGACTTGCAACATAGGGAATGTAACTATTGATGACATATCTGGAGGATGCTAGGGAGCAATATTGCCTAAATTCAGGATCTGCCATTTGAAATGTGGGAAAATCCACAGCCTATTCCTAGTAACCTTAAAATGTAACCGTTCGCTAATTTCCCTGTTCTAGATGTGTAGGTAACTTGACATATCCTCTCCCCCTTCCTTTATTTTTTTTCTCTCTCTCCCCCTCTTCTTACAATTTTGTTTTTATTTTTATATTGAATAACTTTTAAATAGGATATGATCTGAGCCATATCAAAGAAAATGTGAAGCCAGCGATTTAAAGTTTACACTGCCAGATAATAGACACTAGAAAGGTAATTGGTGAAAAGTTCATCCATGTGCACTGTGTCAAATAAAAGAATATACATTATGTTGTACAGTTTTACAACAGGGTAAGGAGTAGAAGTAGAATGGTGCACAGGTATTAGAAGTACTAAGCTGTCGCATGTTCTACAGTGTGTTAAAGCTCAATAAGAGACAGCTTCTTTTTTTTCTAGTGTGGAGAAAGGAACCCGTCTGTTTAAAAATGCTTGGAAATGGATAAAGGAATCACTAGCGCTCACAGAATCCGAAAGCATGAATATCTTCAAAACTGTTAGAAGTGAAGCGGTGAGTCCTATCTTGACTGCAAATCAGGACATGTACCGGGTGCAGGCTGTAGTGTGCTCACTTCCCAAACGATACTTCCAACAATCCGCCGCACATAACTGGTGTCCAAAAATTATTTTTTTGTAGTGAAATTCAATACAAAGTTCAAGGTTCAGCATATACACCACCACAGATCTCTCCCATACCAACTCCACTTATGCGTTTCACCACCTGGGCTTAATCATAGAAGTGAAGCCCTATCTCTAGGTGAAAGGACATCGCAGTTCCTTTTTGGCTACAAAACGAACTCCAGGTTCTAGTATCTTTTTAAGATCTCTATCTCCATACAAAATAGGAAAATACCGCCTTACAATAACCTTCACCTCCTCAAACTGAACGGGTA